CTACCAACCTAACCAACCAACTATCCACCTACCTAACCACCAACCTAACCAACCAACTATCCACCTACCTAACCACCAACCTAACCAACCAACTACCCGTCTACCTAACCACCAACCTAACCAACCAACTATCCACCTACCTAGCTACCAGCCTAACCAACTAACTACCCGTCTACCTAACCAACTAACTACCCATCTACCTAACTCCTAACTACCAACCTAACCAACTAACTAACCCATTAACTAATGCGTTGATGCATTAAGGCATTAGTTAATGGGACGGAGGCTGGACGTCTGTCCTCAGGTGAAGGCGTTGTGCTGGGAGTCCCTCAGCATGACAGAGCAGCCTTCAGAGCCGTGCAGCAGCAGCAGCGGTTCCGCACTGCGGGCCGACCCGTTCCGTTACCTCCTTGCCCAGAGGCATGCCGCTGCCCAGGGAGCAGGTGAGCCCGATGACTTTGGCCACAAAGGTTTTGAAGGTGAGGTACTCCTTCAGCACCACCCCCCTCAGGATGGTCTTCATCTCAGGGATCCCTGAACCTGCAGGAGGAAGAGGAGGAGCTTAGTGACGTCTACGGATCCACATCTGGATCACCAGTAGAACCAGTGCCACCAGTAGCAGGCAGAAGGAACTCCGGAAGAACAGGTGAGACTCAGCAGGTCTGAGTCCAGCTATAGTCTGGACCTAAACCTGGTTTGATAACATCTGGATGTCTGCAGACACGCCAACTGAGATGCAGTCTTGATGCAAACAGCGACTCATTAACTCACACAGCCAAACACAGATTAGTTTAAGATGTTTCCAGATGTTTCCAGATGTGGACCTTTAAATCAGGTCAGCTGATATCTCTGCTTCTACTTTCATTCCTAAGAAACAGGAAAGTTTTCCACATTTTACACAAAAAGGAACTAGTTACTTTCATTGAGCAGTAACCAAGTTACTAACTCAGTTACCTCTCTGGATAAGTAACGAGTAACTTTAACCCAACCCAACACTGCTGAGACACGCGGCAAAGGTTGGATCTGGAAGAACATCCCCACCAAAAGCTGGTCTGTCCAGATGTTCCTGGAGGTGGAACTGGGAACCATCACCAAGGTCAAAGGTCCCATTAGGGGACTCTGGATCTCAGCAGCCACAGATATGGACCAGAGGCCCCTGGAACTTCACTCGGTTCTTCTGAAGACGTGTGTCCACCCTAAACTCTGACCCCTGACTCCCTGACCCCCTAACCCCTAACTCCCTGACCCCCTAACCNCCCCTGACTCCCTGACCCCCTAACCCCTGACTCCCTGACCCCCTAACCCGATGGGTCGGATATAAACTGGTAAATAAATGAGTTTGATCAACATCAGGAATGGATCAAGAACAACAGGTGGGGGGGGGGTTAGTCTGTCCTTACCTACAGCCTGGGGGGCCAGGATCTGAGTGAAGCCAGCAGAGAAGGTGATCAGGACCACCGGGTAGGTGACCCAGGCCAGGTACTGCAGGAACACGTTGCTGTCCAGACCACCATACATCCACTTCTGTGCTGTGGAGGGAGGCAAAGCAGGTGAGTTAAAAGCAGAACTAGAGCACCTAGAGTGAGACGGAGAGAACAAGCAGAGAAGTAGGAGGTGGGGGGGGGGTCCTGGTTCGATTAATGACCGGCTCTCTCTGCCCCCCCTCCTTCTCCCTGATCTCTCCGTCTGCCTTCCACCTCCTCTCTTTCAGAACAGCATCCTGATCCAGTCTGATATCTGATCTATCTGATGATGCTGACCACGGTGGGTCAGTCTGCTCCTCCTCTCTGGTCTCACCTTGGAGGCAGATGGCGATGCAGAAGTCCACCGCCCAGCTGACCAGCGCCATGACCAGTCCCAGCAGGATCAGGAAGATCCAGTCCTCCCCGACCCGTGAGATCAGGAACTTCTGGCAGCGAACTGTGCAGACTGCAGGAAGCAAAGAGGACATGTTAGCGGAGCAGCGTTAGCCGCAGCTTAGGTCGATCATGGAAACCGGAGCAACCAGAACCTAAACCGTTGCAGCAGTCAGAACCGACCCGAACATCTGAGGTTCTGCTGGCCTGTAGCTTCACCTGTGGCCTGATGAAGGACACCGTCTACCAGGCGGTCAGAAAGGTCCGCTGCATCAGAACAGCAAGTTTCCCTAAAATACGCCGCCGTTCAATTAGCCAGCCTAACGCTAAAGGAATTAAATGAAGGTTTCTAAGACTGGAGAAGAAATAAACGTCCCTGATTTGTCCTCCCACCCATCAGGGGGCAGCGTGTCTCAGATACCAACTATTCAAACCCCAGAAACTTTCATTAACATTCTTTGGAATTTGGCGTTTCGAGGAGCAGCGACGAGTTCGTATGGAAACTTCCTGAGGAAACATTCAGGCTCGATCCGAGAAAATAAGAACTAATGATGCAGTGAGAGGCTCTGCAGCCATCCCTCTGGGTCCCTGAGCAAGACCCTTAATCCCCCCCCCCCCCCCCCGAGCCGCACAATGGCAGCCCACTGCTCACTGAGGGAATTCAATAAATCAATAAAGCTTAATTATTATTATTTAATGAACATTAACAGATAAACACCTGAGATCAGAACCAGGCGACTCTAATTCATGTCAGATTTTCTACCTGAGAAAAAAGCAGCGGATGGCGTCCAGCTGTTGCTAGGCAACGGTTCCAGATAGGAGAAGCAGGAAAAGGAGAAACAGCATGAGGCAACCAGCTGCTCCAAACAGCTGGAATGATGTCAGAGAACCAGCAGTTAAACCGTTCAGACGTTTAAGTCTCTGGATAATATTTGATTTTTAACAAATTTCCATTGTTGTTTACATCGTTATGTTACAAATAACTTGTTATGCAATAAAACATGAAGCCAAATTTAATTATTTCAAAAGAAAAGACACAAAATCTATAAAAAAAACAGACTTTTTAACATTTTGTTCCACTAAAAAAAAAACAAATATGAAGCCAAAATAATTGCTAAATATTGAGGTATGTTTTCTAGATTTGTTTTGGATATAGAATCCTAGAACCGCTCCTCATGGTTTAGCACAGCATAGAAGAAGAAAGCATCTAACAGGTAGGTTACCTGAATGAAAGGGTTAATGAGGAGGCTAACAAGCAGACGCCATCATTCCGCATCCTGCTGGGAAACATCCGACTGCATCCAGTTTAGACACGTTAGAACCAGACATGCTGGTTAGTAGCAGCTGATGGCTGGTTAACCAGTGGAGGCGTAACGGACCAACGAGCCGCCGTCACTGGAGAACAAAAACACCTTCAGTCTGCGAGGAAAACTTCTCCTCTAAAGGATTTTCAGGTTCGCTCCTCCATATTGGATGGATTAATAAACCGAGCGTTTCCATGGAAACAGCCGCAGTGGGATCAGCTTCCTGGTCCTGGTGGAGAAAACCAGCCCACAGCATCATGCTGCCTCTTTTCACTGCTGCTGCCTTTATGCTGCGTTACGTTTTCACACCTAAAGTGTGAAACATTTTCAAACATTGGCCTGAATGACGCCATCTTGGACTAAGAAGGCCTGAAACCATTCCGGAGCCGTGGATCCCATCGCTCTGCAGACGGACGAGGAGGAGGAGGAGGCGCAGCCACACATTCTCCAATTAACACCTTGAGCTGAGAACTGTGGAAACTGTTGCACTGCGGCGCCGCTTTGCCTTCGCCTCGCGTCTCTGCCTCGATGGCGGCTCAGAGGAGCGGCCTGCTGCCTGCGTATATTTAGAACCCAGAGTCCAAGCGTGCGTCATCATCTCACCCACGGCCGTCTGTGTTCCTGCAGCCCTGCTGTCGTCTACTGAGCGTACAGGCTGGGGGGGGGGGGGGGGCTTCTTCTGCAGGCCGTCTACATGTGGGGGGGGCAGACTAATTGCTGCCTTTGTTCTTCATGTAGTTGCAATCGTTGCAATAAGCTGCTTGCTCCTTCCCACCTGACCCCCCCACTCACCCCATGGACCCCCCCCTACATTTTTTTCGTCACCCTCTAACGTGGCTTTAATCTCCCCTCTCTGCCTCCTCTCTCCTTCCCCTCCCTTTGCCCACCTCCTCTCTCCTTCCCCTCCCTTTGCCCACCTCCTCTCTCCTTCCCCTCCCTNCCTCCTCTCTCCTTCCCCTCCCTTTGCCCACCTCCTCTCTCCTTCCCCTCCCTTTGCCCACCTCCTCTCTCCTTCCCCTCCCTCCCACTAACCTGCTGAGACTCATTGCGGTTGCCATGGTTACGCGGTGCATCCAATCATTCCCTGATTTTTCCTCCTGATAAAATCAACCTGAACCCTTTTCAATGCAGCCTTGACTGTTGATCTGTTTTAATGGGACTGCAGCATACAGTGCCGGTTCTAGACAGGGGCCAACGGGGGCCACTGCCCCTGTAAGGGCCTCGTTCTGAAGACATAATAATGATGATCTGCGCTGGAACAGACATGGTTACTGATGGCTCCTTTGGATCTATTTATTGTTTTTCTTTACAAATTCTGTTTCACTAATTATTCAAAAACAAAAATAAAGCTTCAGTGGGACTGACATAGGATCCCAGTTTATATCTATTATATGTTTTTAATAGAAAAAAATGCTCCAATTTTTACAGATGAATTTAACAGTTTTTCTTGAGTTCTAATTCAAATTTTAAAGAAAAGGGTATTTTTACTTAAATTAGGTCAAAAATATTTAAAATTCCTAAATTATAAATGTATATTGACCTCATAATAAATAGAATTTTTATTTAACCTTATAGAAAAGAAATGTCCCTTTATGCAGCTTTTTTTAATATATTTGAATTCCTTGCTCGTTTTTTATTTCATGCTTTTCTGGGCCCCCATGAAAACACTCTGGCCCCCTGCTGGCCCCCTGGTCCATTTGGTCTAGATCCGCCACTGTTCCTCCCCTTCACTAGACGTGGATATACTTTAGTATATTCTGCTGTAAAACTAGTCCTATATTTTTTTACTGGAGGATTGAACCTCTGCCGTTTCCCAGGATGCACTGCTTTCAGTGGTAACTAGGCGACTGCCAGAGAGGAACCACAGAAACTTATCGATCCAATCAGCTCTCTGATCAACCAGTCGCCTGGAACGCTGGTTGATCAGAGCATCGCTTTGGACAGAAACGCTGCACAGGTTTCACCAGCACCTCCTCCTCACACCACGCTCTCTGTTGTCTGCGAAATCACAGAAGTTCTAATCCGCACATGAAATCCTGGATTATTTATCCTGCCTGCTGGCATCCGTGAACAACTATCGATATCAGGGAGACTCCCTGAACTTCCAGGAGACTTGGAATGTCTGGCCTAGTAAGCTAGGGCTAAGCTAGTTAGCCTAGTAAGCTAGGGCTAAGCTAGTTAGCACCTCAAAGCAACGTGATGAAAAAGCAGGAGAAGGGGAAGAGGAGGAGCAGCAAAACTTCTCTGCTAAGGAGGAGACGCTGATGGACTATGCTAAACGGTTGGAACAGGACATGCTAGCAGTTAGCATGGTAGCTAGAGAAGCTTTCTGAGCCAGGACATGCTAGCAGTTAGCATGGTAGCTAGAAAAGCTTACTGAGCCAGGACATGCTAGCAGTTAGCATGGTAGCTAGAGAAGCTTTCTGAGCCAGGACATGCTAGCAGTTAGCATGGTAGCTAGAGAAGCTTTCTGAGCCAAAAAGTTCTAACATTCCTCTGAGAGGAACCAGAAGCGCCTGTTTAAAGCTCTGATCAGCACTGATTGGTTGATTAGACTAATGTAAAAACATAGAGCTAGCTCACAGTTAGCATCGACATACCCTGTCTGGTAATGATAGATCTACATCTCTGTTCAGTTATTTTTATTCAGTAACCTGATAGAAATAAAACAAAGAGGAATGTAAATTTAATGTGTAAGAAAAAATAATAATACAGGTGGAAAAATCTATACTGATGTTTTGATGTATTTATTCATTATTTTTTAGTTGTTAGTGATAATGCCCATTAATTAACAGTAATAATTCCTCTGGACCACTTTATCAACTCAGGATGTTGTACTGAAATATTTGTCCCTAATCTGTCCTTCTCTAGTGGGTGTCCCCATGTCTCAGTGATCTGGGGTCCCTCAGGATATCTGGGGCCCCCTCGCCTCTAATCAGGGAACTGTAGGGCGAGTGTGGGGCCGCCCACACCTGCTATTGAGCATCTCCTCCAGGAGTGAAAGCAGACTTCTAGGATGAACTCGGTCTCTATTTTTGCTGTTTTATTTTCTCTCCACCGTTCAAACACGTCATCCTGGTTGGCAGAGGAGGTTCTGTTGGAGCAGCTCTGGTTCTCTGGCTCAGCCTGCAGGCTCAGATCTTCCAGGACGATCAGGAAACGTTTTCTTCCTTCATTAGAATCAGAGGTGGGTGGTAACTTCTAGGTATTTATTTCTCAGTCCTTCCCTCAGACTCATCTGCTCACTGCTGAGGTTGCTCCTCTCCGGCATGCTCTTAACGTCGTATGCAGCTTTAACCACACCTGCTGCTTTCTGTCATTTATGAACAGAATCAGACTTTTGGTTCTGATGTTCCTTAACAGGAAATGAAAAGCTCCAGGATGCAGCTTCCACTGACGCTCCTCTTCCATCTGCAGACGTCCATCCAGACGTCCCTGCATGAACTCTTCCACCTCTTTCCAAACCATCCATTGCTGCTCTGTTCTTTTCTCCATCTTTCCCTTTTATTATCCCTCCTTCTGAAGCCAAACATGTTCTGCCATCGCAGAGTCAGTGCTTTCGTTCTGCAGTCCTCTGCAGGCATGGCAGGCTGATCATTTCCACTTCCAGACCTACAGTAACGAGCCTCAGCATTTCCAGAACCTGCTCTCTCCTTCACACCCGAAATACTGACGGATGATAAACCGTTTAAAATCAGCGACATGCAGACAGAAGAAAAGCAGGATGATGTTTCCTGCAGATTTTCCTTACCAGCTTTTACACATTTTA